GAAACGCTTTCCTGCCCGGTCTCGCCGCCGTCTGAGGTGAGAGGAAGGGGCGAGAGGCGGGAAGGACGAACCCGATCCTGCCCTGCTTCCCTTCTGCCTCAGCGTTTAGGCTTCGACCGCGCACGACCCCGAGGGTTTGCTCGCCTGGCGGAAACAAGCGGTAGAAAAGCGGCTTTTTAAAGGCAAAAGTAGTTCTGCTGCAGCACAGAAGTTGGCCGGGGGGGAAAAAAAAACCAAACACCTGTCTGTGTTTCAGAGCTACTGAAACCAGCGTTCCGTGCCTGGCAGCGAAGGTCTCTGCTTGCATTACCTGATGATACGAAACCCCCTTCCCTTCTTTTACGTGGATCCAAATGGCTTCTTATGTCTGTATTTCTCGTCTAAGTATTTCTTTGCTATTTCAGAGATGGCGGCCCACTCTCGCGATTGTCGGTGACCCTTCAAAAAGCCATTTCAGTTCAGTTTGAAGCATCATTTCTCATTTTAAGATAGTGAAAGTGGCTCTTAAGAGACTTCTGCTTTCCTCCCCGACTTGTAGAACTATTTAAAAGCAAAAGGTATAGCAGCTCTAGTTAATTTTCAGTATTGAGAACATTATTGCAAATTTGAACTCTTTCCTACATGGTTTTTAACAAAGAAGGAAGACTTTTCAACTCAGCTTCACAGTAGCTTTCAAGATTAATGCAATTTTTCTTGGTTGGAGACATACGTTAACTTTTTGGGTATAATTTCTTACCTTGCCTTACTGCAGTCTCTAGTGTAGTCAGAGGAGGAAGCAACCTTCATGTTTGGCATATTTTCACTTATTTAAAACCAAAAGTAAGGTGATGCATGCACTCAGTGTACACTAAGCTGGGAAAGAGGATCTGCAGCAGATTTGGATCTGTAAGTTTCCTCTAATATTTCAGCTGACTCGAAAAGGGGAGGGAGCCAAGAGCAGGGCTGATGCTGAGGAGTTCTCGAGCATTTTGGGTACAGACAAATGCAGTAAGGCAGAAAAAGAGAAGTTGTCGCTGTCAGTCAGACTGACGTTCCCCCTCTCCTGTTGCAAGACAAAATGCTTCAGAGAAGAGTAAAAAGGATAATTATGGATTAACTTCCTAACCTCATTCAAGTATCAGCGCGTTGGTCAGCTACTACATGAGAGTTTAGTAGTCCTTACTTTAAAATTAAATTCTCGTGCGGATGGTATGTTCGTGCTATCTGTATAAATGCAGCCATATGTTTAGTGAGTCAAGTCAGCCCTTCCTCCCCACCCACCCTCTTTCTCCACCTTTTAAGTATGGCAAAAGTTCCCGGTTCCTCCGCACACACACGCAGCAGCTCAGCATTTGCAAATCTTAAGACATTCTTGACCTTCATGAACGTTTTATAGCTTAAGCTCTACCAGTAGGAATGTGCTGTGTAAAAAGCATTTCCATTTGTCACTTGTAAATTCTCAGCTTTTCAGTTTCATTGATGTTGTATTTTAGTTTGAGAAGGAGTAAACAGTTGAATGTCATCTCCGGTCTTTAAAATTAGTTCATATTTTCGTTGTCTCCTAATAAGGGGTTTAATTACTATTGTCCTTCATTTCTGAATCTCTTCTCTCTCCTTATCCCATCTGTCATCAGTTACAGATATGTTGCTATATTGAGGTGACTCTGAAACTGTAAGAAAGCTTTACAAAAACTGACTGGGTACCCCTCCTCTTAAAATGTAAAAGAAAAAAAAAAGAAAGGGAATTCCAGTGTTACATACGTCAACATTATGGATGCAAGATTCTCCCTTACTATATGAAATAAGGAATACAATATCCCCAGGCTTGTGACAGAAACAGAGACAAAGGAAATTTGAATCATATTAATCAATTTGTATCTTTTCAAAGGAAATACGTATAATAGACAAATGTGTATAATAGAATTCTGTCTTTATTGCATCTCTTGCAACATTGATATTTAATTTTGTAGGAACTCTTTCAGGGGGGTACCAAGATGTTTCAAATTTTTGTTTTAGGTGCATTTTTCTGAAAATTTTTTTGAAATATGCTCAAATAAGCTTACAGCAGAAATTTATTGTTATGTCTTTACTGAAAAATCAGATTCTCCCTGAAGTCACACCTGGAGCTTTCATATGAACTATTAGGCAATACAAAGTTAAAAGCATGGTGGTTAGGGCAGGAAAGGGCTTGGTAGGTAAGCAATTCCTAGCTCTCCAGAGCAATGGATATTGCAATAGATGGTGTTTGTGAAGAAACTGTAATACATTGATTTACTATTTAATGACACTTTTCACTTTAAAAAAAATGAATAAATGTAAAAAACATCTTTTAGGTATCATTTGACTGTGCAGCACTTTACTTAGCTGGTAAACCAAAATGTTAACTTATGTGTGATACGTAATCCCAGTTCAAAGCCCGAGTAGTGACACAGGTGTAAACCAGGAGTTGGGAGTCACTCTGCTTCCTGGCACCCGGCTCACAGAGCATGCAGGGACGTGTTCAACTTCCACTGAAGTGAGAGACTTACACCATGGCTGCATGTTTTTGCTGAACTTGGGTCACTCTAACCCTGATAAAAAGAACAGCAATGAGAGACACTCACGCTTTCTTTCCCTTTTTTCTTTTCCTGTTTTTGAGTGAGCTTTGATGTTGCTGAGGACAGCTCTGATAAAGCTGACCACACTTGAGCCAGCAGCAAGAACTGTAATGACTTACATTGCAAAGAAGTGCGGCATCTGCTTTCAGCCTCCATCCATTATCCTGATCTACAGAGAAGACAACAAGGATAAGACTCGCCAGCGCATCATGCCTGTCAGAAATTTCTCCAAGTTCTCAGGTGCGGAGCATTTACTTGTAGCATTCCCCAAGTCCTCTCCAGACACAGTGAGAGGAACAGATAGTTGGTAACAGCATTTTTAGTAACCGCTGGGTAGCTTCTCACCACCACGCAGGGAGTGCAAAGAGGGGTTGTTTTGGGGTAATGCTGCCTCCCCTGAGGAGCTCAGGGCTACATCTTAACCTGAGTAGTGGCCCTGCTAAGTCTGGAGGTCTTCGCTTGTGAGGGTTTGGGAGAAGAGGATCTGTTTATGGGAAGAGATTTGCTTGCAGCTGTAAGTCCTCACGGCGGCTTTCTCTTTAGACTGCGGCTTGGCTGCTGAGCAGCTGAAGAATAACCCTCGGCACAAGGCTTACCTAGAAGGAGTCTCACTGCATCAGCTAAAGAAGCTGTACAGTTTGCTGAAAGGTCATCTGGGAGGAGAGAGCCTGGCTGAGAGCTTGGAAAAGTTTCGGCAGGAAGAGGCCATTGACCCAGAAGAGGATATGAACAAACTAGATGACAAGGAGCTAGCCAAAAGGAAGAGCATCATGGATGAGCTCTTTGAAAAGAACAGGAAGAAGAAGGACGACCCAGATTTCATCTACGACATTGAGGTTGAGTTTCCACAGGATGAGCAGCTGGAGTCCTGTGGCTGGGACATGGAGTCAGGTGAAGAAATCTGATTCTGGACAAAGATGTCTCGGATGGGCAGTTCAGAGACAAATCTCACAGTCCTAACAGAGAGAATGATGTCGGCATACGTATTCTGCTGCATCATTTTCAGTTCATGCCATTGATGCACATTACAGTAGGTCTTGGGTTCTCCATAGCCAAGGTGCTACAGGTTTAAGTGAACTTTAAGAAGCCAGACTCAATGAAATGGAAATTGAGCAGCCAAACTTATTGGGTGTTTTTAGTCTTCTCCTAGTCTTTTTCCTATTTAATAATTTTAAATTATTTAATCTTTTGTTTGTTTACATTTCAGTCAGCTTTGGCCGAAAACCTCACCAGCTTGCCTTGCTGTGATTTCTGTTCAGCTTTGTCTGAAAATTAAGTGTTAAATATTTATGTCTTGAAAGCAATCCTAAAGCTTTATTGTATGCATATGCTATTTATTATTACTTGTTGGAATGTTAAATATGTATTTGTCTTTCTGGATAAATCAACATTGCATTGAGAGTATTACTCTCACATTTCCTGAGTGATGCTTAGATCTCCAGCTTCAGCTTACACAAATATAAATCCTTATGTTTAAGAAACGGAATATCTAGAAAGTAAGTTAGTCTTGAAAGTACTTTTGAAAATACAGTGATTTCAAGCTGATGAAGTGAGGTGTTTTGCTTCCTTGTACTACTAAATGATGCTGAGTTCTGGGAAAATGTGCTTAAACTATCAAAAAAAAAGTAGTGTGGTAGAAACTCACAAAGGCAGGGGGTGGTTTTAAGAGTAAAACAAAACCTTTACCCCTGCTGCCTCATCAGACTACAGTTCCCAGCTCACTGTAACTAGTGCTATGGGAAAACCTGTTATGACAAGTAAAGCTACAGCAAAAGGTCCTCCACGTAGTGTTTTGATGGCCACTGAGAAATTCATCTCTGCAAACGAGCATTTTACTTATCCCACTGAAGTTTTTAATCCCACTGTCTACCTCAGCTGGTTTGTACTAGCCAAATCCTGCTCTCTTGTAAGAATTGGAAGACTAAGTTTAGGATTCTTCAGAAAATTATGCGACTCCAGAAGCTTCCCAGGTTTTGGCTTTCTGAATCTGGGTGACTTGTGAATGGGATGGGCCTTCATCCCGAGTTGAGTGGCCTCAACAAATTCATGCCTGAGGTAACTAAGAGGAGTTGCAAAGTGCCTCCGAGACCAATTTATTTCCTGTCTTCCTTCTTGCAACCACAAATGAATTAAAATCCATCAATTTTATCAATAAGACATCATATATCATAGTGCAGAAGCTGGGGTTTGGAAGAGCTTTCCTCCTACACACTGAAATGACAGCCAGTTCTGTGAAAAATCTGAAATGAGTGTCAGATTAATTAAACCACTGTAGTTTGTCATCACTGGAGAAGATGAGCGAGCTTATGTTTGTCCAAGGGAGTCTTCAGTTCAGAAGAGAAATGGAAGCCAATGCTTCATTTGCCAAAAATTTAAAAAAAAATAAAGCCTGACTCAGCTCTTCCACCCACAGAGGGGTGCCTAGATCTCCGGCACAGGCCTTTCTTTGTTTCCAGCCAAAACTTGCAACATAACAGCATATAAAGATCTCCCACTTGGGTGAGAGGGGATCCATGGGGACCTCTCCTCCACACCCAGCCTGCCCCAGGGTCAGGCCAGCCTGCACCCAACTTTGTCTTGGCTGGCACGCCCCTCCTCAGGCATGGCCGAATGAGGTCTACATGAGGTCTAATGAGTGCTGAGTTGAGGGTGGTAATCACCTCCCTGGATCGTGAGGTTCCTGCCGGCCTGTTCCTCCAGCCCATCCTGGTCCTTCAGGATGGCAGGCCTACCCAGTATCAACTGGTCCTCCCAATTTGGACTCGTCTTGACATGAAGGCACTCCACGGCCTCTTCCATATCATGGACAAAGACATCAAACGGGACAGATCCCAGATCAGACTCCTGGTGTCTTCTCACCAGCCTCCTGGTAGAGCACGTCCTACTAACTGCTACCCTGTGTGCTTGATCATTCAACTGATTTTTTGGTTGTCCACCCATCCAGACCATGACATCCTCACTTGGATGTAAGAACATTGTGGGACACAGTATTGAAAGCCTTGCTGAAGTTGAGGTGAATGGTACCCACTGCTCTCCCCTTGCCTACAAATCCGGCCATTTCATCGTGAGAGGCAAGCAGGTTGGTCAGGCATGACTTACCCTTGGTCAATCCACACTGATTGCTCCCAGCCACCCTCTTCTTCTAGAAATGTGCTCCAGGAAAGCACATTCCATGGTTCTCCCAACATGAGGGTGACCATCCTGTTGCTCCCCAGGACATCCGTTACTGAAGACGGGTGAGACATTTGCCTTTCTCCAGTCACTGAGGACCTCCCCTGATTGCCATGACCTTGCAAAGATGATGAACAGCAGCTTTGTAAGGACATCAACTATTCTAAAAGTGGAAGCTCACCTTGTTGCCCTGACATCCCTTGCAGGTCCCAGCTCTGGGTGAGCCTCGGCTTTCCCAGCACTGTGCCCCCGTGCCCAGGCAAAGCTGCTAACCCCTCCTGTGATGGAGGAGTGTTGAGTATCCCCCACATCGGCTCAATACGAGCAACAATGCCCATGATTTATCCATGCCCCAGACAGTGCCAGGCACCCGGGTTCCTACCTACGTGCACGCCCACGGCTGCGCCCCACTTCCCCCTGCCAAACGGAGAGGAAGCAGTGGCCACAGTGGTGGAGGAAGCGCACACATCCACCCTCCAAGGCCGGACCTGGCACCCACAGCAGGGGGAAATAGCCTCAGGGAGTGGGGTCCTCACAGGGGCACCCTGCCAGCGGAGAGACACTGAAATAGGTTGAGGGATTCTCCAGCTGGGGCCTGATTTGGTTTTGGCTATTTTGGTCTAAAACAGGGCCAGAAAGCAGCCAGACAGCAGCCATTTTCTGAGACAGATTTGACAGCTGGGTTTCCAAAGCCTTGTCAGCGCTCAGCCCCAGTGGTGCTGCTGGCTGGTCCAGCATGGTCCAACCTACACCGTTTTTTCCAGCCTGGCATAGCAATCAGCCATGCAAGGCTCACCAATGAACCCCCCAGCACTTGCCGCAGCTCCGTTTTGGCCCCCGACTGTGCCGCAGCCCATCCTTACCTGATGGCTGCCTGCACATTGAGGCAGCAGCATCTCCAAAAACAGGCAGGGATGCACCACTCCATCTCCGAGCCTGCCTCCCCATGCGCTGGCTCCATGCTCAGCGGTTGCTTCACTGCTGCAGATGCACTGGGTGATGTCTGGGCTGCGGCTGACCCTGGTCCTCCATCCCCATGCCTGTGCTGGGGAGGATGCTGCCCTGATGGGCCTGCTGCCTGTACCTGCCTGTGCTTCCCGCCCCAGCATCACTCCTGGCCCCATGCCAGCCTCGGGCATCTCCCTCCACCACCTCCCAGGACAATCCCAGTGTAAGGTGGAGTCACACGGGGCTGGCTGGCTGGCGGGGCTCGATCCCCCAGCACACCCCACATCACCCTGCCGAGCTCATCTGAGTCCAGGCAACGACAAGCCCCCATCATGCCCATGCTGGCACCGCCACTTGCTTCCCCACACCCCATGTTCCCATTAAACTCAGACAAGCGTTTCACTGGAGACATCCCGACGGCGCCGCAGGAATAAAGCTGCTCTGGTTCTCAGCAGGGCTTTTGAGTTAGCACAAACCACCATCACTTCTCATTTCCGCCCACAGTAACACTCCGAGGAACAAAGCAGCACTTCCCCAGGTAGCACGCTGCTGGCACGGGAGAGCTGGTACGGGAGAGCTGGTACGTGCTGCAACTGGGGCTGACTGGAGGAAAACCCCCTACGCTGCCAGAGCCAACAGCCCACAAGAGCAGGGCTTGTACAACAAGGAAGAAGGCTTTCTCTTATTTTATCTCCTTTGCAGCTGTTTAATCCAGCAGTTGCTAGAGGAAAAGAAATTGATGATAAAATATTACCGCTGATATAATTTATTCTCATGTCTTTTAGTCAATATTTTACATCATTGCAACTTGGGCTATTTTTAATGGACTCTTCTAGCCAGGATCACACCTTAACCAAGCAAAGACACCCCAAAAAAGTGTTTTTCAGCCCTGCTGACAACGCCTGTCTTACCGGCACACGCACACGGGTGCACGCCCAGGGCTGCCTGCGAGTTTGCTGGTGCCGACAAGAGTGGTGCAGGAAGCTGCAGCCACAGAGACCCTTCTCCACAGCACCCAGGTGATGCTTGCTCCAGCCCAGGGCAATTCATGGAGGCTAGTTGCAGAGCTGGAGGATGTTTTGCAGCAGAGAGTTGGCTACAGGGGTGAATAAATAAAAGGAACTGCCCGAATAGGGGCAAAAAACCAGCCCTGGGGTGCAACTGTCCATGCCCCGTAGGCCAAGAGGTGTTCAGTGTCACGTCTGCTTGGCTCTCACCAACATCAGTTGGAGGTTTCTGCTGAAGATGTGTCCCTTGAGGATGCCCAGCACGGCCCCAGGCTCCATCACTGGCCATGGCTCCACACCCTTTGGGCATTCATAGCAGGAACAGCAGCTCTCCCAGCACCCCCTGATCCTCCAATACAGCAACTCCCCATCTCACCCACTTTGGAGGGATTATCACCTGTGATCCTGACAGCCCACTCGCATTCACCATTCCCGAGCCCTTCCTCCTCCCCCTCAGCCATCAGTAAGGGCTGGACACCCCACACTGGCTTTTCACCATTTTCAGCAGCTTTTGCTTGAGCATGAGGAATACGACAGCGAAGGCCACCAGGAGTGTCAGGCAGGTGGGCAGAGCCAGCACCAGGTAGAGGAGCGCCAGGTCAGCCGTTTGCCTGCAGCAGCTCCACAGGACAGGCTCAGGCAGCGCCCTGGGGCTCAGCGTGTGGGAGGCATAGCTGCAGGTCACCTCCTGCCCATCAGGGACGCGCAACCCCTCAACCCGCTGCAGGGCGTCCCACCAGCTCAGCGTGCAGCAGTTGTAGGGGTTTCGGCTGAGGTAGACCTCCCGCAGGCTATTCCCCAGCGGTGTCCACGTGACATCTGGTGGGAGAGCCGGGAAGCAGTTGTCCCGCAGGTCCAGGCTGCGCAGTTTCAGGACACGCAGCGAGGTGGGGAAGGTGGTCAAGGAGTTCCCCGACAGGTCCAAGTGCATGAGGCTGTTAAAGGCAGAGAAGTCCACAGCGGTGGAAGAGAGGCTGGTGTTCCTCAGAGACAACACCTGCAGTGTCAGAGCAAGGTCCTGCAGCCACTCCAGGTCCCCAGACAGTGCCTGATGGTTGTCGGAGAGGTCCAAATGCATCAGTGACGTCCCCTGGAAGGGTTGGCCACCCAGTCCCCGCAGACCACAGCCAGCCAAGAAGAGATGAGTCAAGGTCTCAACACCCCTGATGTCCACGCAGGGGGGACTCTCCACCTCACCTGCAACAGCTGGCTGGGGACAGAGGTCGACCCGGTTGCGGCTGAGGTCCACAGTAGCGATCTTCCTGGCATAGGTGAAAACCCAAGGAGGAAGTGCCCGCAGCCTGTTGGTGCTGAGGTTGAAGAGCTGCAGGTTGGGCAGGATGTCCCTGGTGCCCACCTCCACCCCCAGCTCTGCCAGCCGGTTCTGGCTGAGGTCCAGCTCCATCAGCATGGCTAAG